ATTGCTGGGTACGGTTGAGTCCCGCCTGAAGGGGTTTGCCTTTGAATTGGACAAGGCTTGGGCCGCCTGGGCACGCAGGGCCGCTTTCATATGGCATGGGGGCGGCGCGCAAGTTCTCCGAGACCAAGGAGCTGCAGGAGCTGGCCAACCATACTGCGCGGCCCCAGCCTTTCCAGATGGCGGGCGCCCGCATGTCGGAGTGGAGGAAGGTCTGGGGCATGCGCGACTGCAAGGAGGTGCAGCGGCCGAGCGGCACCTAGCAGTGGGAGCAGCTCACTCCTATTGACGTGGACACGCTGAAGCTGGCCATGAGGTCCTTCCCTACCAAGACGGCCCTTGGTCAGCTCGGTCTCAACCCGCGGGCGCTGCTCGCCCTGTCGGAGTTCGGCCCGTCCACCATCGGCATGATGTTCGAGGCGCGTGAGCGCCTCTTGGCGTGGCCTGCTAGTCGTATAGAGACTCGTTTAGTTCGGCGCCCGAAACCATTAGGGGACCATCGTTTAATTGCGCTGCTCAATTCCCTGGTCCGCCTCTCAGGGCGGGGTCGAAAGCAGGTCTCTCAGACCCGGGAGCTTCCCCGTCGGGGCCCGTCTTTCTGGGGGAACGGGCCAGGGGCCAGTTCCTCGGACGTGGCTTTTGGCCATGACCTCGGGGCGGGGGCGGCTGCGGCTTCGGGGGGGTATTCTGCCAGCGTGTTTTTGGATATGTTTAAGTGCTATGAGTGCATCATCGTAGCTAGCCGCCCGTCCGAAGCTAAGTGCGTTGGATACCCGCTGCGCATGTTGTGGATAGATGGTCCTTGCGTCCTATCGGCGTCATCGGGCCATCCAGGCGTTTGGGTCTCTCTCTCAGCAGGTCGTCTCTCGTCGAGTGATTTTAGCGGGCTGCAGCCACACGAACACAATGATGCGCGTGCTTCTCACTAGAGTCATTGCCAAGATGCGCCGGGTTGACGTGCGCATTCAGCCTAGAGTCCTCATGGACGGCCCTAGCTTCCAATGCGTTGGCAGACGCATCTGTGAGAGTGAGGTTTTGCTGGCCGCCGTGAGGTGGTATTGTGCCGGGGTCTATAAGCTTGGCCTGATTTTCCAGGCGGCTAAGAATGGGTTTGTGGCTACTGCCGTGAGAGCGTCGTCTCAGTTGCCGTCGTCTGCTCGTATCGCGAAGCTTCGTAGCCACAAACACATGAGGAATCTTGGCCGCGAAGTTGTTTCAGGAAGGCTTGTGAGAGCCCAAGAATAGGTCCGCATGGGCAAGCTCCTTAGACGGCGATACAAATTGCCTGCGCTGCGTAGGGCTGCCCAAACAAAGTCTCTCTGCTATGGGGGACGGGCCTCATGCCCGCTGGCGCGCACGGGGCCGGGGTGTCGAAGCTGACCGATCTGACCCCGGAAACCCTTCGGACGATGGCGGGAACCCTGGCGGGCGCGAAGCGTAGCGGGTCTCTGACGACCTGGCTTGCTACTCAGCCCGACCCTACTACGACCCCATGTTTGATGCGACCGTCCCACTGGTGCAGCGCTTTGCTTCTTACATGTGGGATTCCAGGGTTTCCCTGGGCAGGCTTCAGAGAGCCTGGCTGGTGATTTTTGCCGAGGTCCAGGGCCGCCCGAACTGGAAGTCGTGCCGTGGGCGCAGAAGTGCTGTTGCGTTAAGCCTCATGCGTATCAACTGGAGCATGGCTGCCGCCCACGTCGTCGTTGACGACGGGGGGGGGGGGCACATCAACTTGCTCTTGGTCCCTCCGCTCGACCTGAAGATTTTGGTCCGCGGGGGTATTCAAGGGTGGCACGTTCAGAAGATGCTGAGCCACCTCCCTCAAGCGTATGGGTCAGAGCGCCTGTGGCTGCGTGGGCTGCGTGCTGCGTTCTTCAGAATACGGGGCGCCAATCGGCGCGCTGCCCTCCGCTGTCTGATAGGCAATGCTTTTTGGACGCAAGAGAGGAAACATGTTGCTGGGTATTGCGGGTCGCCTCTTTGCACGCTTTGTAGTCAGCAAGTAGTTGGGCCCCTGGGACGCCAGCTTTATGAATGTGACACGGTTCTGAACTACCCGCAGGGTCAGGCGATCCCCGATGACGTTCTCGTGCGCAGGTCTGTGTTTCAAGAAAAAGGGTCGATTTGAAGAGGGCGTGCACGTTTGGGACTCTTTGGACCTCCTGTACGGGCTTCCCCTGGGCCCCGTCGCCCTCGACCTCGCCCCTGATGCGCCCCCTGTTTGCGACTGGGGCGAGACCGAAGCGCCTTGGGGGCACGCCGTCTACACCGACGGCTCGGGGCTGCGCAGCAGCTGCCCCGAACTTCGACGGTGCGGGTGGTCTGTCGTGGAGTCGGGGCCTCGTGGGCCCCCTGTGCGCGCGCGGTACGGGGGTTCTCCTTGGCCGCTTGCAGTCGGTTCCACGGGCTTGGCGGTTCGCGATCTACCAGGCACTTCGAGTCAGCCCACTGAATGCGCGTGTAGTTTCCGACCGCCTGAGTGCCGCTCAAGAAGGGAAGGCGCGGGGCCCCTTCCAGGCCTCTTAGTGGCTCGCGACACGCCAGCTTGTGGAGAGGTGCTTTGGCTTTGCACCCCCCCCCCGGGCCGAGACCTTCCTTCGAGTGGACTCCGTCGCGCAGAAGCCGGCAGGGAGTGGTTGCCACTGGGGCCGCCGGGAATCGCCGGGCTGATTTGTTCGCCCGTCTGGGAGCTGAGGCGCGCGCCGCGGCCAAGTCTCTTGAAGAGGTCCAGTCGGGCGTCACTGCCACGACTGAGCTCGCGCTCGGCTTTCTGTCTGGGTTCGCTCAGTCGATCGCTGCTGTTGCTCAAGGGCAGTTGACCCCGTCTTCCGTGCTGGCCCAGGGGGCCCGTCCTGCGCCTCGGGATTCGAACCTTGCGCTGTCGCAACATGAAGTTTTCCATTTCCCGTCGCTCAACGAGTGGCGGTGCCGTGCGTGCAACCTCCTCGCTCGGACGCCCTCGTCTCTGGCTCAGTTGCTTTCTGGCTCGCGGAGAGCTTGTGGACCGTCACCGTACCGGGCGTGGCAGGCTCAGGCTGCGTTTGCCCTGCGTGCGGAGCAGGGTATCCCTATGTCCTCGGCGGCGGCGCCTCTTGCCCTGGAGGGCGCGGACAGAGTCCTGGGGCCCGCTGTTCCTGCCCAGGCGACGTTGGTCCAAGCTCTTGCTGGCCGTTTCGTGTCCCTGGGCAACCAAATGGAGCAAGTTGGCCGCGTTGTCTTTTGTTCCCTGTGCTCGGCCCACACTATCCTTCCAGGTGGTAACCTTCGCGGGCTCGAGACTAGGTGCTTGGGTAGATCGAACCATCCATCGACTCGTAGTTCCCAGGCTACCAACATTAAATATGCAGTTCGTGGCCTCCTCCCGCGAAAGGGGATGCCTCTCGAGCCTGTCTAATTTTGTATTTTTGTTGGGGGGAGGCCTGTCGAGTGCCGCCAAACTCGCCTGAGCTAGGTGGGCGCCGCCAAAAATACCGATGACCTCCCCCCGTTTAGTCCCGATTGGGCTCCATTGAGCTCCCGCCATCGGGCACTTCCCCCCTTGCGGAGGGTCTAACTCCTTTCTGCCCTGCGACTCCGCATGGATCGGTAACGCCAGGCGGTGCGCGCCTCCTCTTCCTTCTGTTCCTCCTCCTCCTTCCTCCTCCTCCCTCCTCCTCCCTCCTCCCTCCTCCCTCCTCCCTTCTCCTCCCTCCTTCTCCTCCTCCTCCTCCTTCCTCCTCCTCCCTCCTTCTCCTCCTCCTCCTCCTCCTCCTCCTCCTCCTCCTCCACCTCCTCCTCTCCTCTCCTCCTCCTCCTCCTCCTCCTCCTCCTCCTCTCTCCTCCTCGTCATCCTCCTCATTTTTCTTCTTCCTCCTCCTCCTCCTCCTCCTCGCCTCCTCCTCCTCCTCTCTCTCCTCTCCTCCTCCTATTACTGCTCCTCCTCTCCTCCTTTTCCTCCTCCTCTCCTCCTCTCCCTTCTCTCTCCTCTCCTCCTCGTCCTTCCTTTCCCTCCTCCTCCTCCTCCTCCTCCTCCTCCTCATGCTACTCCGCCTGCTCTTCCACCTCCTCGCCCTCCCTCCCCCCCCTCTCGCTCCTCCTCCTCCCCTCCTCCTCCTGCCTCCTCCTCCTCTCCTCCTCCTCCTCTTAATCCTCCTCCTTTTCTTCATCCTCCTTCTCCTCCTCCTCTCCTTTTCTCTTTCCTTTCTTTTCTTTCTTTCGCTCCTCCTCCCTTCCTCCTCCTCCTCTTCCTTCTCCTCTTTCTCCACCTCCTCCTCCTCCTGCCCCTCCTCCTCCTCCCTCCTCCTCCCTCCTTCTGCGCGGAAGGTGCGGAGGGTGCAGGTTGAGCGAACCCATCCCCATCCCCACCGGGCCTTGGCATCTCAGCCTTGCCATCCCACCACCCCAGTTAGGGATATAGGCCCCTCAAAACCCGAAGGGAACAGCTTACAGTCAACACGGATAGGAAGAACGAACGACGCTCAAAGGTTGCCCTTGCATCTGCCCCCTTCGGCCCATATTTGGCCACTCTCGCTGGCCGCGCCCCACTCGAAAGGTGTCGACATGGCCTTCCGAGGCCCTTGCGCGCATCGGGGGAAGTGAGAGGGGGCGGGACTTCTCAGAAGGCTCGGAAGTCCTCCCGTCGTCTGAAGCATCGTCTAAGCCTTCCCCGAAGGCACAGAACTTCTCAGAAGGCCGGAGGACTTCTGAGAAGCCCCGCCGTCATTGGAGAAGGCCTTCTCCGTCTCACTTCCCCCCCTCGCTCGCTCGCTCGCCGCCGATTTGGGGGATCTCTTTGCCAGTGGGGCCTGGCCTACACCTTAGGCGATGCTTAAGAAAACCCAAGTTTTCGGCCAGAGTCTCGATTATTCTTAACTTTTGGATGTAAATCCTAAGATTTAAATAGAAACGTTGGGTTTAAATTGCATTTCTGAGGCTATGAATTTCTTAACCCATGATTTCGTAAGCATTTCGCAGGGTGTAGGCCATGCCAGTGGGGACGGGCAGCGGTCGAGCAATGCCCCGAGGACGGAGAGCGACCGCGCCCGCGCCCAGGGCGACCGAAGGGCCGACGCCGAGGAGCAGAAGCTGCGCGCGGAGAACGACAGGCTGAGCGCGGAGGTCGGGCGGCGAGCGAGGGGCCCCCCAAAATCGGCGGCGAGCCCCGGCTTCGAGGCTCAAGAGAGGCTCGGGCGGCTTCTGCTGGGCCTGTTTTCCACCACCACCACCATAAGTTGGATGGTGGGACGGAGGAGGAGGAGGAGGAGGAGGAGGAGGAGGAGGAGGAGGAAGAGGAGGAGGAGGAAGAGGAGGACCCCCTCCCCCTCCAACTTATGGTGGTGGTGGTGGAAAACAGGCCCTTCAGCTTCGAGGCCTCTTCGGCGGGCGTTCCACGGCCTCGGGAGAGGCGTTCCCGCGGCGGCGCCTCGCCGAGCGCGTGCCCGGGGGGGTGTTTCCCGAGCGTCCCGGGCCGCCGTCGGAGGAGGCCGGAGCTGCGGCCGGAAGGCCGGCAGGGGGGGGGCGAGAAGGAGCAGGCCTGCTCCCAGACATGATCGCGTCGTAAAAAATTCAGGACGGAGGTTTTTCATGATTTTCGGCCTCTGGAGGCCCTCGCCGGGCCTCGGGACCGTCAAAAAACGACTCAGGATGACAAACCGGCCCCAGGGAAAGGGTCTGGACTTCCGGGGGCGCCGTCCTGAAAAAATCAGGACGTCGCATGTCTGGGCTCAGAGGGCGGCGATGCTTCCCTGACTCCGGATCCGCCCTACTTTGGGGAAACTCGTAAGTAGGGCCTGGAATTTCCGCCTCACTTTTCGAGCCCCGCCGATGCCAATTTCCGCCCTGCTTTTCTGTTGCTGTTTCCGCCCTACTTCTGTGGATTTCCGCCCCACTTCCTGTTGGGTACAGGAATTTCCGCCCGAACTTTTCGGCCCCTTATAGGTGGATTTCCGACGCAATTTGTTTCAGTTGGAAAAAAAGCCAAAGTAGGGCGGATCTGGAGTCGGGGTTCTCAGAGGGCCTCTGGCCTCTGGGGAGGTTTGGCTCAGCAAACTGCTCAGAAGGCTGGGGGGGGCATCCGAGCCTCCTGAGAAGGCCCGCACCTCCTCACTTCTCAAGCAGTGGCGAAGCGTCCTGGCTCGCCTATAGCCCTACCAAACAATGTTCTAAGAACCGTTAGCGGTTTGCACGACATGTTCTTAGAACATTTCTGGCGGAGTCTGTCTTGCTTTATAGCATCGAGTCTACGTTCTAAGAACATTGCTTTGTTTTTGGGACGTTTTTGCGTTCTAAGAACATTTAGTGGTAGGACTATAGGAATGCCGAGACGGTCGGTCCCTGCTCAAACTTCCTCCCCGGGCTCGCCGCCAAGAGGTGGCGGGGCTCAGGGCCGAGGCGGCCATGGAGCGCAAGCGGCTCGAGGAGGACGGGCATGCTCATCGGAACTAACGTTAAGTCGGGCCTGTCCCTCTACAGGGGGAATATTCAAAAATAGCCAAACATAGTATGGGGACTATTTTTTAAATATTTGTTGACCATTTGGGAGCATGTTTTGAGTATGTTTTACGGTTCGTCGAAGATCCCCCTGTAGGGGGACGCGCCTGGCTTAAAGCTAACGATTTGGTTGATTGCGTGATTTCCGGCCCCGAACCAAGCTTCTGCCACCCCTTTTTCGGGGGCGGCAAAGAGGGGGGTGATGACTAGGGGGGGGGGGATATCATGGCGGGGGGCATGATATTTCCCCAGATCTCAGGGCGCCTCTTCTTGTTTCATTGCGTCCCTGGCCCCCCCGCTGGGCCGCGCACATGCCGCCGGTCATGATTTGCACCCCCCTGACTTCGGATCCGCCCTACTTTGGGAAAATTCGTAAGTAGGGCTTGAAATTTCCGCCTTACTTTTCAAGCCCCGCTGATGCCAGTTTCCGCCCTACTTTTTTGTTGTTGTTTCTGTGGATTTCCGCCCTATTTTATGTTGGGTGCAGCAATTTCCGCCCTACTTGTTCGGCCCCGTATAGGTGGATTTCCGACGCAACTTTAAGTTGGAAAAAAAGCCAAAGTAGGGCGGATCTGGAGTCAGGGCCCCCCCTCTTTGACGCCCCCCTCTTTGCCGCCCCCCTTTTGTGCGCACCGCCAGAGACTTCCAGGTCGGCTTGGGAGGTCGCCGCGGCGATCGCGGCGGCCACGGATCGGGGCAGGGCTTTTCGGCCAAGGAGAGAGGGGGCCCTTCCCAGCCCTCCCCGCTCTGCGATGCAAACGCGGCTCCGACTTGCAATATATATATATATATATGTATATATATACATATATATACATATATATATGTAGCGACAGGGAGAGGTGTCAGCTTGTGTCCAACACGGGGCAGTCCTGTTTTGGGCCAGGGGTCGTTTGCCACGCAACCATCACCAGAGCCTGGAACGTATCCCTATCCCTATGATTGGCATCGCCTCATCCCGATGCCGATCTCAGGGCTTCCCTCCGCGTCGGAGGGCGCACCCCGGAGATTGCCGTCGACTTCTGGCTTGCTAATCTTAGGGATAGGGATACGTTCGAGGCTGGTCAAACCAGTGATGGCTCTGTGAGCTCCTGGCGTCTCAAGCTCTCTCGAGCCAGGCGTCTTCGCCCCAGGCTCGGGCCCCGGGACTCCCCGACTTCGGATGGCGCAGGCCCAACGGCCGACGCCGCCGACCCTGAAGGGGGGACGAGGCACGTCGACGACGACGACGACGGCGGCGACGGCGACGGCGACGACGATCGCGAGTCCTTGTTGGGGCCTTCCCGGGCCCTCTTGGGCTGTCCTTTGGGGGGGGCCTCTTGGGCCGTCCCGGGGCCCTCCCGGGCCATCCTGGCGTGTCCTTGGGGCCGTCCTGGGGAGCTCTCGGACTTCGGATGTTCCGCACTTCGGTGGTTGTTGCCGCCTCAGAATAAGAAGGGCGGAGATGTCCGCAAAAGCGCGGCGGAAGCAGCGACGGCAACGCAGAGCGGAAACTCGCGTCAAAGGAAGGGGATTTCCGCCCTCCTTGCAAAATCGTCCAAAGCATGGCGGAGCCGAAGTCAGGCTGGCAGTGCCCTGAGATCCTGGCGTCTCAATCTTTCGAGCTTGCCTTTTCGTACGGTTTCGGGCCCCAGGATCGTCACAGATCGATCCGGCTCGAAGAATGGCACAGAATGATGGTGTCCGGGCCTCTGGTCGTAATGTTTGCGATGTTGCATTTGTTTCGTGACGTCGGATCTCAGGTTTAGTGCGATTGTGGTTTCTGCTATCTGCTTGTGCCGTTAGAAACTACCCGGACAGGCCCAGCCACCATCTCGTAGCTTAGATGGTAGTAGGCCAGCGATGCAGGCGGTCAACGCAGGACGCCCGCCTCGCTACTCGCTAACCACTGTTTGGGATTGCGAAATGGTGGTTCGGATCTTTTGGTCATGTTTGGGATGCAGACTGTCTTTGCACACTGGCCCAACCACCAACACCACTGGCTCGGAAATTCGAACCTGAGCAGGCGCCAGTCATCAGAGTCGTGGTTTGGGCACGGGCCCAGGAACCCCGATGTCCGACGACATACTTTAATCAGTCTGGGCGGTTTCCTCGATTTCGGCGTCTGCCTCTAATTGGGCTGGAGACCATCAAGTATCCCAGCAAAGCACCCGGATATAGCAGCAAAGGCGAAGAGACGGGTAGAGGAGTAGGAGGTCGAGACACGGCCATGTCCCGACGGACCAATACTGTAGCCGGCATTGAGGCGAGAGTACGATTCTTGGATCAATTGTGAAGAAGTCTCAGGCGAAACGGTTGCCGGACCAGGCGGTCTAGGCCTCCCCGTCTTCTCGGTGGGACTCAAGCCTCAAGCGAAACGCTGTTTCGGAAAAAACGGATCCACGAGGCACCTCTGTCTCCAGGAAAACGTCGGGGCCTTTGGGTCCGCGCGTCGGATGTTTGGGACTCTGCCTCAGTGTTGCTCCGAGAAAGCAGGCCTGAAGCAAATCCCCATCGCACGAGTCCCAAAAGCCGCGACGTCATGATTCTTCCACAATGTGAACCTCCAAAGGTCTCGACGCCTTCCCCCCGGACCGGTTCTTCATCCTGGGCTGCTTGTTGACGGTCCTGAGGCCCAGTCAGGGCTCCCAGACGCCGAAAATAGCCAAGAATTGCCCATCGTGTTGTTTGACCACGCGAGGGAATTTGGGTCCTTGGCTTTTCCAAGATTCGTGGGCGTTCTACCGTGACTTTGGATCCGAGTGATTTCGTAAGCAGGGCGGGAAGAACCGCCCTACTTTTCAAGCTCCTTTGATGCCGATGTCATCCCTTCTTTGCCGTCGCTGTTTCCGACATACCTGTGCGGAAGTATTCGCTCGTTTTTGTTTTCCTGAGGCGGAGAAGTTCGCCTCACTTGTTTCGCATCGTTTGGTGTGCATGTCCGACACATGTTTCAGCAGGAGCATCAACCAAAGCACAGCGGATCCGACTCCGTAGCCATTTGGGCTCCAGCGCCGCCTTTGGCGCCGAAAAGCCCGCGTGCCCCACGGGGTGCGCCCGACGGCCGTGCAGACAGCAGACGTTCGCAGCCTCTCCTCGTGCGTGATGGCGGCGGACGCCGCCGGGGGCCCCGAGCCGTCAGAGCAGAGCGTGCCGCGCACTTAGTGGGCCCTGGAAACGGCAGGGCCGTTTTGTTACCGGTTCCGTTTTACCGTTTGTTCGCCGGTTCCGACGCCGTTTTTTCACCGGTTCCGCCGCCGTTTTTTGACCGGTTCCGGCTCCGGTTCCAGTCCTGGAGCCGTTTTGTTGCCGTTTCCGGTCGCCGTTTTTTTGCCGCTTCCGTTTTCAAGGGACATTTTTTGGGAAACGGTGAAAAAAACGGCCCTACCGTTTCCGAGGCCCACAAAGGCCGCGCATCATTGAGGATGACGTGACAGGGGTCGAGATCGAGGTTCTGGACAAGCACTGCTATTTGCTTCGGAGCGCTCTGGGCATGGAGGAGCAGCTGGCACTATTCGAGCACATCCAGGCCAACGATAAGACCGACTGGGACGCACCGAGAGCGATGAATCCATCTCCGAAGACGCTCCTGCTCGGTGACGACGAGCCCTGTCTCAGGTACGAATTCGGGCAGGAATCCCTGATCAACGCAAGCATCTCCAAGGCGAATAACATTTTGGGTAGGCATCTTCGCATCGATGACGTGGATTTATGTAACTATACGTCGATCACGATGGCTGCAATCCAATACGCATCGCCTAATGGTCGTTTCCCTGCGCATATTGACCACTGTAACGGCAGTTTCGTGTATTTGATGAGCCTCGGTTGCGCAGCTAATTTTATGGTGAAGGGACCCGGTATGGAATGCAAGAAGACATTCAAGTTCAACAGCGGCGATCTGCTGGTTTTTAACGCGTCAACCGAAGCTGCAATTCTGCATGAGGTCGTTAGTATCGTGGAGGGTGAAGAATCTTGCCCTGAAGAATTAGGAAACATATTTCCAGTTCTGCGGAAGAACAGGTATGGTGTGCAATGCAGGGTGCACCTGTGAGCAGCGCGAACTCAGTCTGCGTGGCAGTCCGAGGGTATCGCAGAGACATGCACACACTGGGTGCTTGTGCCACCGAGAAAAAGCAGCGGATCCGAAGTCAGAGTGATCGTTTTTTCCCCCCGCAGCCCTGCAGGCCTCAGGAGGCTTGAACCTCCCACTTACTCGCGTCGTGAAAAAAACAACGGGAGCATTTTGGTAACATTTCGTGCGTTCCAGATTCCAGGTTTTCAGGCGTTCTCGTGAGCTCCTGGAGCTCTTCAGGCCCCGGGATGCTTTCCAGCAGCTGCGTCTCGACGAGAGTGTGCTGGGGGTGGCCGAAATGTCCCGAACGGCCGCCGGAGACCCGAGCTATGATCGGGCGAAGGGAATTATGCACATGCACCGATCCTGGCAAGGCCCATCCTTGACCCATAATCGGTGCATACGCCTTCCTGGCCAAGGTAGGAGGGCGCATGCACCGATCCTGGGCTCAGGATGGGCCTGGCCAGAATCGGTGTATGCGCACAGTTCTTTCTTCTCTGTATGACCCGAGAACCAAACCTCCTTTCGCACATCGCGACGTTCAGTTCTGGGGGCCCTCGCCGGGTCCAGGGGCCGTCCAAGGACGCACGGGCCCCAGGCAAGTGGTCGAGACCGCCAGGGACTCAGGACGATGTTGAGGCAGTAGCTCACGGAAGCTTGCCCAATGTCGCCATGCGGGGGAGATGCATCACGTCCGCTCTGCGCGGTGTTGGACGCGCCAGTGGGCGCCACGGGGACAAACAGAAGCTTCCGTGCTGTCTCACAGTGCAGAACAGTGCGCCCGACGTCGGAGATCTGATGACCCAGACATGCGACGTCCAGATTTTTCAATACGGGGTACCAGCCCACCAGCACGCCCGAACTGGGAGCCGGCGGTAAACCGTCAACCAGGTTACCGCCGGGACCCTCGTAGAGCTCTGAACACGCGAACAAGTGCCCAGATTAGAGGAGAAAGCTTCCTCGAAACTCAGCTTCAATACTTGCAACAACTGTTTTTTGGGGATCTTACACAATACCCAGAAGCCCCGACCCTTTCCCTGACTCCAGATCCGCCCTACTTTGGCTTTTTTTCCAACTTAAAGTTGCGTCGGAAATCCACCTATACGGGGCCGAACAAGTAGGGCGGAAATTGCTGCACGCAACATAAAATAGGGCGGAAATCCACAGAAACAGCAACAGAAAAGTAGGGCGGAAACTGGCATCAGCGGGGCTTGAAAAGTAAGGCGGGAATTTCAAGCCCTACTTACGAATTTTCCCAAAGTAGGGCGGATCCGAAGTCAGGGTCTTCCTCCTGTAGAGGGCCAGGCCCGACTTCACCCAGGCCTCGGGGTGCGCTGACCCCTGCCCAGACCTCCGACTTCCCCAGGCCCCCTCGCGTCGTGAAGGGCCGCGGCCGGAGGTTTGGGGGCTCGGGGGCCGTCAGAGAGCGGCTCGGGGGCCGTCAGAGAGCGGGGGGTTCCCCAGGACCCCCCCGCTCTCTGACGGCCCCCGAGCCGCTGACGGCCCCCGCTCTCTGACGGCCCCCGAGCCGCTCTCTGACGGCCCCCGAGCCGCTCTCTGACGGGTCCTGGGAACCCCCCGCTCTCTGACGGCCCCCGAGCCGCTCTCTGACGGCCCCCGAGCCCCCAAACCTCCGGCCGCGGCCCTTCACGACGCGAGGGGGCCTGGGGAAGTCGGAGGTCTGGGCAGGGGTCAGCGCACCCCGAGGCCTGGGTGAAGTCGGGCCTGGCCCTCTACAGGAGGAAGACCCTGACTTCGGATCCGCCCTACTTTGGGAAAATTCGTAAGTAGGGCTTGAAATTTCCGCCTTACTTTTCAAGCCCCGCTGATGCCAGTTTCCGCCCTACTTTTCTTTTGCTGTTTCTGTGGATTTCCGCCCCACTTCCTGTTGGGTACAGGAATTTCCGCCCGAACTTTTCGGCCCCTTATAGGTGGATTTCCGACGCAATTTGTTTCAGTTGGAAAAAAAAGCCAAAGTAGGGCGGATCTGGAGTCAGGGCTGGCCCTCTACAGGAGGAAGATGCAAATATTTGCAGAAAATGGTCTGGGGACGATGTCTCGAGTGTTCTTCTGCATTTTTGGGGTATTGCTGCGCTTTCCTCCAGAGTCCGCTTGTAGGGGGACATGCCCGACCTCCCCAGAGATCCGACGTCGTGATTTTTTCGATGCGAGGTCCCCGGAGGTCTCGACCCATTCCCCTGGACCGGTTTTTCATCCTGAGTCGTTCTTTGACGGCCCCGGGGCCCGGCGAGGGCCTCGGGAGGTCGAAAATCACGTCGGACAACCTGCGTCCTGATTTTCTCAATGCGTTGGATCTCTGGGTCAGGCTGGGGCCCTCGATCCTCCAGCCGTGGCCGCTGCGGCAGCCCTGACTTCGGATCCGCCCTACTTTGGGAAAATTCGTAAGTAGGGCTTGGAATTCCCGCCTTACTTTTCAAGCCCCGCTGATGCCAGTTTCCGCCCTACTTTTCTTTTGCTGTTTCTGTAGATTTCCGCTCTGTTTTATGTTGGGTGCAGCAATTTCCGCCCTACTTGTTCGGCCCCGTATAGGTGGATTTCCGACGCAACTTTAAGTTGGAAAAAAAGCCAAAGTAGGGCGGATCTGGAGTCAGGGTGGGCCAACGCACCCAGACCTCCTCGCGTCGTGAAAGAATCACGGCGGGAGGTTTTTCGCCATTGTCGGCCTCCGGGGGCCCTCGCCGGGCCTCGGGAGCGTCAAAAAACGACTCGGGATGAAAAACCGGTCCCGGGGAAGGGGTCAGGACCTCTGGGGGTCGCGTCATGAAAAAATCATGACGTCGGGGGTCTGGGATCTGGAGTCGGGAAAGAAGAATTAAGGCAGGGCGGATCTGGAGTCGGGGTGGCACGAGATCCCCTCGAGTGACTTCTGTGAGGGCCCGGAGTCTCAAGCGAAGCCGCCGCCGAAGACCGCCGCCGAAGACCAGGCGGCCTCGGGCTCCCCGCCCCCCTGGTGGGACTCTTCCGTGGTCCTTTTCCAGACCTCCTCGCGTCGTGAAAAAATCACGACGGGAGGTTTTCGCCATTTTCGGCCTCCGGGGGCCCTCGCCGGGCCTCGGGACCGTCAAAAAACGACTCAGGACAAAAAACCGGTCCCGGGGAAGGGGTCGGGACCTCTGGGGGGCGCGTCATGAAAAAATCATGACGTCGGGGGTCTGGGTTTCTTGCCCAATCAGCGCTTGCACTGAAGGGGTCCTAACTCAAGCAGCGGCGAAGCGTCCTGGCTCGCCTACAGCCCTGCCAAACAATGTTCTGAGAACCTTTTCGTGGATTTCACCAAGTGTTCTCAGAGCATGTCTGGCCGGGACTGTCCTGTTTTAACACGCGGGCTTTTTGTGTTCTGAGAACATTGTTTTTGTTCTTAGAACATTTCTGGGTTCTAAGAACATTTCGTGGTATGACTAGGAATGCCGGGACGGTCGGTCCCTGCTCAAATTGCGGTGCCCCGAGACACCCGAGGGGGGATATCCCCAGAGGTCCAACGCATTGGAAAACTCAGGACGGAGGTTTTTCGCCGTTTTCGGCCTCTGGGGGCCCTCGCCGGGCCTCGGGACCGTCAAAAGACGGCTCAGGATGAAAAACCCGTCCCAGGGAAAGGGTTGGTTTTTCCCGGGACCCCGGATTGAAAAAATCACGCCATAGGATCTTTGGGTCCGCACCGTGGGGGGCAGGTCGGCCAGTTGCGCCGAGGACATGCCAGCTGGGATAGGGAATAGTTAAACGTTGCTCAGATCGGCAGGTCGATTCTGCAAAATCAGGGGTGCCCTTGTGTACTGCCCCTGTCGCGCTTCGTGCCCTCTTCCTGCCCTCTTCGATCAGCTTCACTATGTTCCCGCCCCCTTCTTCGCGTTGCGGAAGAAGTCGCGACAGGAGTTGTTTGGCAACTTTCGCCTCTGGGAGCCCTCGTCGGGCCCCGAGACTGTCAAAAGCAGATGCAGGAGGAAACGCCGTTCCCAGGGCACTTCCCCGGGACCAGCTTTTGGGCCCCGCGCAGAATGGGTGGGCGATCGGTAGGGGGGGGGGGGGGGGGGGGGGGGGGGGGCAGCGAGTCGCTTGCAGAAGCGGGGCCCCGAGGAGGGCCCCCTATGGGGGCCCTTTGGGGCCCCAAAGGGAGCTTTTATAGGGCCGGCGAGGTGCACCTTGCCTCCCCCTCCATTTCATCGCCCCCCCCATGAAGCGACGCCCAGAGCTTTTCCTCCTTTGGAGGAGGGGGAGGGGGGAGGCAGGGAGGAGGAGGAGGAGGAGGAGGAGGAGGAGGAGGAGGAGGAGGAGGAGGAGGGAGGAGGCGGAGGATCTCGGGATGCCGCGGCTGGCGTGCGGGGAGCGCGGGCCCAGCCGGGGGCTCCGGGAGGACCCGAGCCCCCTCGTCGTTGCCCGCGCTCTCGGACATCCGCCGATCCGCCGATCCTCCTCCTCCTCCTCCTCCTCCTCCTCTCCTCCTCCTCCTCCTCCTCCTCCTCCTCCTCCTCCCTCCTCCCTCCTCCTCCTCCTCCTCCTCCTCCTCCTCCTCCTCCTCCTCCTCCTCCTCCTCCTCCTCCTCCTCCCTCCTCCCTCCTCCTCCTCCTCCTCCCTCCTCCTCCTCCCTCCTCCTCCTCCTCCTTCTCCTCCTCCTGATCTTCCCCACAATCCCCCCCAAGTGTTCTCCGAAGGGTTTCCACAACGGCTGGGGAACACACATGGTCTGGTAGCTCGGCAGAGCTCTTGCCACATCACTCGGCCTCATGGGCGATGAGGTTTTTCCAAGCCGCGGCCCCAGAGGTCCCGACCACTTCGCCGAGGGTCGTTTCTCGTCGCGGACCTATAGATGTTTCATGGCCCTGGGGCTCGACTCGACAACGGCCGTCGAGGGCCGAGCTGGAGAGGGGGCAATGCCCAGATGGAGCGCTGCCCCAGAAAAGCACCCTGCTAGCCGGCCGGGAAGCCCCGAGAGAGGAACGATGCAGCCATGGGACAGGGCGAGAGCACGGCCACGTGCGCCTTTGTGCCTCCGTATGTTTTTCACATCAGGGCCGTGGCCGTCCGAACGAAAGCTGCAGCCGGCATGGA